CATTAAGCTGTAGTTGTTCTGGTAACTATGGTGTCCCTTTAAATACTTAGGCTATACCAATAGGTCACTAGGTATTAGATATTAGATGCTAAGCGATTTATAATCAACTTCCATAGATGACTGCAGTCACAGTAACCTGAAAGGTCATCAAGAACATCTAGGCTCTGAAAACATGTCCACATTGATAGGTTACTGCTGATCGGGGATTGATGTACTAGCCAAGTTATTCCATTTGATAGCCAGACTTAATTTAAAGCATAAAGATAGTGTGCTACAAACTATTCGATAAGAGCAAATTAAAATTAATTAACCATGAAAATGTAGAGTTAATTAGGGAAGATAATTGATAAGGTCAGAGGTGAATAAGTGATTAACAGGACAATTATATTAGGATATAGCAGAGGTACTTTAGAGCCTTATACCTGATTAAGATAGTTACAGTTGTCAGAGCTATCAGGAAAGAGAGAATTTATTTTGTCTGGACATTAGATTTTATTGGGTAAACAAAGCCGTTAATGAATATTTGTATGACCGTGGTGCTAGGACAGCCTCTGGGGAGCTGGGAATTTTTTTGCCACGTTACTGGACGCTCATGCGCAATGCCTGTAGGCTCATGCGTCCTTTTGAGGAGGTGACAAATTTAGTCAGTCGCACTGAAGGCACCATCAGCGACATCATACCATTTGTTTTCTTCCTGGAGCGTGCCCTGCGAAGAGTGCTGGATCAGGCCGTAGATGAGCGTGAAGAGGAAGAGGAAGAGGAAGAGTTGTGGTCACCATCACCTCCAGAAACAGCCTTATCAGCATCGCTTGCTGGACCTGCGGCAACGCTGGAAGAGGATTGTGAGGAAGAGGACTCAGAGGAGGAATGTGGCTTTGAGAAGGAGGAAGAGGAGGAGCAAGACCAACCACAACAGGCATCCCAGGGTGCTCGTTGTTACCTATCTGGTACCCGTGGTGTTGTACGTGGCTGGGGGGAAGAAAATACCTTCATTGACATCAGTGAGGAGGAGGAACGGGAAATGAGTAGCTCGGCATCCAACCTTGTGCAAATGGGGTCTTTCATGCTGTCGTGCCTGCTGAGGGACCCTCGTATAAAAAGGCTGAAGGAGAACGACCTGTACTGGGTGTCCACGCTACTAGACCCCCGGTATAAGCAGAAAGTGGCGGAAATGTTACCGAATTACAACAAGTATGAAAGGATGCAGCATTTGCAAAATAAATTGAAAAGTATGTTTTACACAGCGTATAAGGGTGATGTCACAGCACAACGGGAATCTAACAGGGGGAGAGGTGGAAGTCATCCTCCTCCTCCCATGACCACGCCGGCAAGGACAGGACGCTTTAGAGACGTGTTGTTGATGGAGGACATGCGACCTTTTTAAGTCCTACGCATCGCCACAGCCCTTCGGGATCCACCCTCAGAGAGCGACTCGACCGACAGGTAGCAGACTACCTCGCCTTAACTGCAGATATCGACACTCTGAGGAGCGATGAACCCCTTGACTACTGGTGTGCAGGCTTGACCTGTGGCCTGAGCTATCCCAATTTGCGTTTCTCCTGCCCCGCTTCAAGTGTCCTGTCAGAAAGGACCTTCAGTGCAGCAGGAGGCATTGTCACTGAGAAGAGAAGTCGCCTAGGTCAAAAAAGTCTAGATTACCCCACCTTTATTAAGATGAATGAGGGATGGATCCCGAAGGGACTGACAGTGGGTGATACATTCTATTAAAAAAGGCCTGATGAGATGAGCTGCCTTGGGCTAAAATGGTCCACACATCAGCTGCTGTATTTTAGCTCTGAATGCCTGTTGACTTATGCGGATTGATCCTAGCCACCAACCAGGTTTCAAGTCAGCCATCTTTTAGGGCACCCTTCTGCCTGTGAAACAAAACATCAGTTATAGATTACCAGCAGTTAGTTGTCTCAAAGCTGGTGTGTCAGGCTCGTGGATATTGCGCCCAGTGCCACCACTCACCTCACTGGTGTCACAATAGCTTGATTTAAAACAAAAACTTTTTCACCGTTATAGATTGAATAGCAGTTAGTTATCTTCAAGCAGGTGTGTCAGCCCTACAGCGTGTACTCTGCCAGTACGCTGCCACCTCCTCTACTCCTCCTACTCCATCCTCTTCCATAACCCTCTCGGCTTAGTCCTCTTCTGCTGCTGCGTCTTGCTCCACATCAACGGATAGGGGGCTTAACAGTGATTAAACTGATAACAATAGTACTAAACACACCACTCCTATCTGGTGGCACATTAGATTGCACGCGCAGTGCCCCAAATTTGTTGTGATCTGTGAGTAAGGTAAACGGTTGTCCATACAAGTAGGTTGCAGCTTTTTGAGGCCCACACCACCGCTATGCACTCCTTTTCAATGGCAGTGAATATACTTCGCTGTGCAAAAGTTTACGGCTTAGATAAGCCCCCGGTTGCTCGCCACCATCTGCTCCGACTTGGCTCAGTACTGCTCCCAATCCAAGCATAGAAGCGTCTGTATGGACGAGAAAGTGTTTAGTTGGATCAGGAGAAGAAAGTACAGGTGATTTAATGAGCTCGCCTTGAGCCGCTGAAGGCCTGCCCCACACCCCAAATCTATACCACTATCTTGGGAGGTTTTACACGCCTCTATATGGCACTTTACTGGCTTTAGGTCAGTCCTGACTCCCCATCCAATCTATTACGGCTCCTATGGGTCAGGTGTTCGGGCCAGGAGTTGCTAAAACAAGTTCATACCATCCAAGTAGGTGTGTGTATCAAGTGTGTATCAGGGATCCTTAGGACAGGTGTCAATCCATATTCAAGCTAAGTGACCCTCTGTTGGGGTAACATTCCCTATTCTGCTCTGTGTCAGTGTGTATCAGGGATCCTTAGGACAGGTGTCAATCCATATCTGCCAAGTGACCCAATGTTGGGGTAACATTCCCTATTCTGATCTGTGTCAGTGTGTATCAGGGGCTCTGAGGACAGGTGTCAATCCATATCTGCCAAGTGACCCTATGTAGGAGGAACAGTCTCTATTCTGCTCTGTGTCAGTGTGTGTCATGGTCTCTGAGGACAGGTGTCAATCCATATCTGCCAAGTGACCCTATGTTGGGGTAACATTCCCTATTCTGATCTGTGTCAGTGTATATCAGGGGCTCTGAGGACAGGTGTCAATCCATATCTGCCAAGTGACCCTAAGTGTTAGTAACAGTCTCTATTCTGTTCTGTGTCAGTGTGTATCATGGTCTCTGAGGACAGGTGTCAATCCATATCTGCCAAGTGACCCAAAGTTGGGGTAACATTCCCTATTCTGATCTGTGTCAGTGTGTATCAGGGGCTCTGAGGACAGGTGTCAATCCATATCTGCCAAGTGACCCTATGTAAAAAAGGCCTGATGAGATGAGCTGCCTTGGGCTAAAAATGGTCCACACGCTGCTGTATTTTTAGCTCTGAATGCCGGTTGACTTGCGTGACTTATCCGCCACCAACTAGGGTTCAAGCTACCAGTGTGTACTTTATAAAATGGCTTCATAAAGAAAAGTTTACTTTATAAATGGCTCCAATTCCAAGCACCCGCATACAGCAACACAGTCTCCAGTTAGAGGACCAACCTCAAGCATCTTCTTCCATCTGCCTGTTATGAAATTACTGCCGCGGTACACGCACCACTGATAGGAGACGCGGAAGGCATTAAACTGATAAAAATAGTACTAAACACTCCACTCCTATCTGGTGTCACATTAGCTTGACCGCAGTGCCCCAAATTTGCAGTAAGAGGACCGACCAAGCCTCTTCTTCCATCTCCCTGTTACAAAAATCAATGCCGTGTACACGACCACTGATAGGAGACGCGGAAGGTATTAAACTGATAAAAAATAGTACTAAACACACCACTCCTATCTGGTGTCACATTAGCTTGACCGCGCAGTGCCCCAAATTTGCAGTAAGAGGACCGACCAAGCCTCTTCTTCCATCTCCCTGTTACAAAAATCAATGCCGTGTACACGCCCACCGATAGGAGACGCGGAAGGTATTAAACTGATCAGAACAATACTAAACACACCACTCCTTTCTTTTGGTGAGGCTTTACAGGACAGAGTGCTTCTCCACGGGACATGTTAACTCACGGGCAGCTGGCTCATCAAGGAACCAGAGCAGCTTTCCATGTACAGGTAAGACACGGCAGCCGGTAAGGGTTCAGGCTCTTCTTCCTGGAGGATACGCTGCAAGCCTGTTGAACGAGGTGACCTTGCTCGGGTCCCAGGTGTACGGTTCCTAAAATGGCCGCCATATACACGTCCACTGATAGGAGACGCGGAAGGTATTAAACTGATCAGAACAATACTAAACACACCACAAATAAGGTTTCTCTCCTGTATGGCTCCTCAAATGATGCTTAAGATTAGAAGCGGCTGAAAAGCATTTCACACTCCCAAATAAAAATATATTTTTTAACATTCTTCCACTTTGAACTAAAATGACGCTTTGGGAAGAGATTAACATAATTAAACACAGGCAGGTAAAATACAGTTTCTAGCCATACCTCTGTAACCTTTAAACTACATCCCATCTTCATAATTACATATTTGGAATCAGCACACTTAAAACATAAAACATAACCAAAATCAGCCAAATCCATCCAGGGTTAAAAAGTTAGTTGGAGGTCCCTTTATGACTGACCGCAAGCACATTTTCCTGCCCAAAACAGTTCCATAGATTTGGGCTGTGAGGTCGCTCTATTTCAGGCTGAAAAAAAGACTAAGTCCCATCGCCGAATGGGACTTAGTCTCTGCAGCTGAAATAATTTCCCCATTTACTGAACCAAGTGGGAAATAGCAAGGCAGGCACAAAGGGTTTGCACCAGGTCTGGGGACACAGGGGACACCGTCTTAAAGGGGCAGTGTCCCTAACAAGTCTGGGGACACGGCCTAAAGGGGCAGTGTCCCAATCTTCCTGATGCCCAAAAAAAGGTGTTTAAAGGGCCAGCACCAGTCACATAAAGAGTCCATAAGCCCCAATATGCCCACCGACAGTCTTAAAGGGCCATACACACCAAATAAAAGTGCATACATTTCACAATCTCCCAGGGGCCATAGTCATGCGGGAGGAGGCTGGCAAGTAGGCTTCTCCACAACCCAGGGAAGCAGGGCAATTTGCCATTTAAAGGGCCCGTTACAAATAGCAGTTTGTAACAAGGTGTCAATCCATATCTGCCAAGTGACCCGATGTAGGGGGACCAGTCCCCATTCTGCTCTGTGTCAGTGTGTACCAGGGAACCTTAGGACAGGTGTCAATCCATATCTGCCAAGTGACCCGATGTAGGGGGAACAGTCCCTATTCCGCTCTGTGTCAGTGTGTATCAGGGATCCTTAGGACAGGTGTCAATCCATATCTGCCAAGTGACCCTATGTAGGAGGAACAGTCCCTATTCTGCTCTGTGTCAGTGTGTATCAGGGTCCTTGAGGACAGAAAATAATCCATATGTCAAGGTGTCAATATGTCATATGTCAGTGTCAATCCATATTGATTGCATTTAGGGAATGTTAGGTGATTTCTGCCCCTTATGGATTAAAACCAGACTCTGTATCAATCCGTGTAATTTTCCCCATGGAGTTTTGCCATGGATCCTCTCCGGCATGCCACAGTCAGGTGTTAGTCCCCTTGAAACAACTTTTCCATCCCTATTGTGGCCAGAAAGAGTCCCTGTGTGTTTTAAAATTCGCCTCCCCATTGAAGTCAATGGCGGTTCGGGCGGTTCGCCGGTTCGCGAACATTTGCGGAAGTTCGCGTTCGCCGTTCGCGAACCGAAAATTTCGGGTTCGCGACATCACTAGTTACTGGGTGTAAACACGGCTTCAGACATGTTACTGGGTGTAAACACGGCTTCAGACATGTTACTGGATTTAAACACGGCTGGTAATGGTGTTACTGTATCAGGTGATATGAAAACTGTAACCGTGTCAGTAATAAACCAGCGACGGCCAGAAACACCAGAGAGATTTCAGTATAATCAGGTTTTAAGCTCCAGGAGTTTCTCCTCAGGGCGACATTACTGGAAAGTGGAGGGCAGTGAATCAGGAGGATGGGCGGTAGGGATGGCCTATCACAGTATAGACAGGGAAGGAGATCAGTCAGGGATTGGATTTAATAACAAGTCCTGGGGTTTGGGGTGGGGGTATAATAAGCAGTATTTTGTTAGACATGAACGTAATAAAATCCAGTTACCTCACCCCCCTTCCAGCCGGAGATTCGGGATATTCCTGGACTACGAGGCCGGGCGGCTGTCGTTTTATGACCTGTGTGACCCCATCAGACACTTACACACCTTCACTGCCACCTTCACTAAGCCGCTTCATCCTATATTCTGGGTATATGGGGGTAATGTCTGGCTGAGAATGTATTGAATGATTTATTAATCTAATTAAAGAGATTAAGCTGGAAATCCCGGAGTGGGAATCAGGAGCCGGTAATACTGATCTGGGTGTGGACGGAGCATCACAACAAATTTAGCCCCGCCCACTTGAACTGGGTGTGGGCGGAGCCTGTTACTAAGCAACAGCTGCCCTGTGTGTCACTGTGTGTGATTGTGGGTGAATTTTACCAACATTAAAGCAGAATTACTCAATACAGAAAAACGTCTCTATAATTAAACTGCATTCACAGCTTGTATCCTGCATTTTAGAGGTTGTTTTTTAATTCACTGATTAAATCCGTGTGTTTGTGAGTTTGTGTTGTCTGAGGGTGATGAGAATTTTATTGCATCTGAAATGTCAGTTACTGGCAGCCTCTGGTACTGGTAGCTGTTCTGGACTTCAACTCCCATCATGTGTTTTACGCCTGCACTATGTGTGTGAATGTGTGTTAGTGTGTGTCACCTTGTCAGTGTTTGTCATTATGTGTGTTAGTGTGTGTGTGTGTCATAATGTGTGTTAGTGTCTGTGTCATAATGTGTGTTAGTGTGTCATAATGTGTGTTAGTATGTGTGTCACCAGTGGCGTACATACCGGTATGCATGCCAGTGTGCCCACATTTTGCCAGCCTCTTCTCAGGAGCTGGTCACCTCAGGGTCTCCCCGAGGCTGGCAATGGCTTCAGTTTGCCAGCAGCCGGGATGTGAGTGTGTATGTGTGTTAGTGTGTGTGTGTCAGTGAGTGTGTTACTGTGTGTGTGTCTGTTAATGAGTGTGTTAGTTTGTGTGTGTCAGTGAGTGTGTTACTGTGTGTGTTAGTTTGTGTGTGCCTGCTAGTGAGTGTCAGTAAGTGTGTTAGTGAGTGTTACTGTGTGTGTGTCACTGAGTGTGTTTGTGTGTCTGGTATTGAGTGTGTGTCTGCTAATGAGTGTCAGTGAGTGTGTGTGTTACTCAGTGTGTTAGTTTGTGTGTGTCTGTTAGTGAGTGTGTGTTTGTCAGTGAGAGTGTATGTTTTGTGAGTGTGTATGTGTGTATGTCTCTGAGTGTGTGTCTGTCAGTAAATGTGTGTGTCTGTTAGCTAGTGTGTATGCGTCTGTTCGTGAGAGTGTGTAGTTAAAACTCCTTCAGCACCTACCTTGTTTCAGTGCCAGGCTCCCTTGGCGCTGGGGATCTCTCCACCCCGATCCGCCTCTCAGCTCCGAATGTGCATGCACGCATTCAAACCGCCAATAGGAAAGCATTACTCAATGCTTTCCTATGGACGTCCAGCGGAATCGCGGAAGCACCTCTAGCGGCTGTCAGTGAGACAGCTTCTAGAGGCTGGCTTAACCCTCAGTGAAACATAGCAGTTTCTCTGAAACTGCTATGTTGTCAGCTGCAGGGTTAAAACTAGGGGGACCTGGCACCCAGACCACTTCATTGAGCTGAAGTGATCTGAGTGCCTATAGTGGTCCTTTAAGTGTATCTGCATGCACTGGCGGCACACTGCGGTCACAGGGGTCGCACCCCTGCGAACAGGTGCCCGCCGCCATGTGTATCGGCAATTGTCGCTCTGGGGCCCCATGGATCTTGTGTACGCCACTGTGTGTCATAATCTGTGTTAGTGTGTCATTATGTGTGTTGGTGTGTGTCATCATGTGTGCTAGTGTGTGTGTCACCTTGTCAGTGTGTGTCATTATGTGTAATACCCCTCTTGTGTGCAGTTATACATATATACAACATAGTCTGAATTGCATGCATAATCGTTATAAATATATTTCTTGTGAGTATGTGGATGCACAAATGACTCTCCCTTTATCACGTTGTTGCAATGCAAGCAACCTAAGCAAGGAAATGTGCCTTTCTTAGATTCAGAGAAGAACCTAGCCAGTTCCTTGCAACTGCCTATGTCAGATTTTACCAGAATTTCCCTTACATTTTTCTCTAGGCCTCCCCCCCAACACACAAAAACATTATCTATAAACCGCTTCCATATTAAGCATTTCGAAAAAAAGTTCAAGGTTGTATATATGAGATTCCTCTAAGCTTCAGTTAATATTCACCATGCTTAGTGTTCTTGGTTCTACTCCCATGGATCCCAGATTTTTTTAAACATGGACATTGTGTTTCTGATCTTGGCTGTCAATTTGTCCATTAAGTAAGTATCTTTTATTTTTGAGTAACATGAACTAGTGGGGGCTCTTTTGGTTTAAGTCATGATTGACCTAATGTTATACATGCTGCCAGAGCTAAAATGTGTAAAAGCCTCTACTTCTTTGTAAGCATTCTCTCAATGGGTGACAGCTCTCTTAAGGTCCCCTCCACAGCACGTCAATTGGGTTGAGGTCTGGACTACGACTGGGCCATTGCAATACCTTTATTCTTTTCTTTTTCAGCCATTTAGTTGTAGATTTTCTGGTGTGCTTAGGATCATTGTCCTGTTGCATGAAACAATTTCGGCCAAGCTGAAGCTATCGGACAGATGCCCTCACATTTTACCGTAGAATACTTTGGTAAACAGAAGAGTTGATGGTCGACTCAGTGACTACAAGGTTCCCAAGTCCTGTGGCTTTAAAACAAGCCCAAATCATCACTGTGCTTGACCGTTAGTATGAGGTGTTTGTACTATAAGTTTGCTGTGTTAGGTTTTCAACAAACGTGGCGCTGTGCATTATGGCCAAACATCTCCTCTTTGGTCTCACCTGTCCAAAGGACATTGTTCCAGAAGTCTTGGGGTTTGTTCAGATGCAACTTTTCAAACAAACAAAGCTGTGCTGCCATGTTCTTTTTGAATCAGTCTTTTTGTAACTGTACTGTCATGAACGTTAACATTTAACATGCAAACTGAGGCCTTTAGAGTCATAACTTTTTTTTTTTTGCAATTTCTCTGAGCATTGCACAGTCTAAGTTTGACGTTCACTCCTTTAAAGATTGTCAACTGTCTTGAATGTTGTACACGTTTAAATCTTTCTTACTATAGAATGGTGGACTTTAAATTGTTTGGAAATACCCCTATAACTCTTCCCAGTTTTGCTTTCTCTAAGATCACTGCTGATGTCTTTTCTCCTTGGCACTGTGTTAACACACACTTGAATGCTCCAGAACAGCAAACTGCTAAAACTTCAGCTTTTATATAAGTGGTCAAGGTCAGTAATTCCTATAGAAGCAGTAGGGGTGTACTTAGTTTTTCACAAATGGCTTCTCCATTTTTGCTTCATTTTTGTTAAATAAATCATGACACTGTATACTGTGTGTTTATTTATTTTTAGAAATATTTATTTTTGTATTTATTATCTTTTCCAGAAATTATTTCTCCTTTTGTTTTATCCACAGACATCTTTACATTCGTCCACTATGTAGTCTAAAGCAGTCCTTATCAATATACCGTATATACTCGAGTATAAGCCGTTGCCTTCCGTTGCCTTCCGCTCACAATGTAAGTCTCGTGGTCTGTTTGCCGCGTGGAGCGTTTCCACTGTAACACGGCCGCGGGTCTCGCGAGACTTACACTGTTAGCGGAAGGGAACGGAGGTGAAGGGAGCTAACAGGAGCTGCTACAAAGGTAACAGTTTGCTGCCGGCTCCCCCACTGCACAGTACACACCACTGGACCACCAGGGAATCACATAGCCCCCCTCCCTGGCCATGCAACAAGCAGGGAGGGGGGACAAAAAAACAACAACAAACAATGACATTTTTATAATTTTAAAATAAAATAATATTAAAATAAAAAAAATAAAAAATAAGAAAAATGTCCTCCCCCACCCAGTTACACACACTACACAAACACACACACTCTGCATTACACACACACACACTCACACACGCACTCTGCATTATATACACACAATACATTCATACACACACTGCATCCATTATATACACACACTGCATTCATACAAACACACTGCATTCATTATATACACACACTGCATTCATACACACACTCTGCATTATATACGCACACTGCATTCATTCAAACACACACTGCATTCATTATATACACACACAGTGCATTCCCACAAACACACAAATTCTGCATTCATTATATACACACAGTACACACTGTGAAATAATAATATAATAATAGCAGACGCTATCTTTTTTTTCTCCAATAGGCAAACCATAATCACTCAGGTATTTTTTGTGAGCAGTGGAACTGCACCTTATTTCCGTCATTTAATTGGAAAGATGAGAATCAACTGATACAAGATACCAATTTGTCAGCCTTGTGGTAACATTCCGTCATGCCGAATGCAGGGAAAAATTAAATAGCAGCACCCACCCAGCTTACTGAGGAATGTATCTCTTCTAACAGAGCAGAGTGCAATAATAATACCTTACTATGTATAATCTGCGCGAAACAAGTTTTGTCATGTATGGTTAAAGCTACTTGTTAAAACACCTCAATGAAGTTCTGCAAGGCAAATCAAATAGAACATCTGTTAATCAGGATATGTATGTTAAAAATGTCTCTAGTTACCAAGCATGCCCTGGGCTTTAGAAGTTATTAGTATCTATCTTAATGGTATTAAAAAGAGATAAATTGAAAAAAATTGTCCACGTCAGCTGTGTTTTAAAGGAACACCATAGTGTCAATATTTCCAACGTGTGTTCTTGATACTATGGTTTTAAAAACACAGTTTAGGAGTTCGGCCTGCATTTAAAAAGGTGATTTTATTTACCTTTCTTCCAGCGCTGCACTGGTCTTGTCATGGCTGGCCCGGCCCTGCTCCGCCTCCTTGGCTGACATCATCAGCCTTGATGATCTCACACAATCTAATGCTTTCTCATAGGAAAGCAATGGGAGACTATGTGCTTGTGCTGCAAAATCTTCTCATAGCGATGCATTGAATCAATACATCTCTATGGGAGCATTCAGCACTGACCCAGGTACCACCTCTAGAGTCCGTCTGTGTGATTGCCATTAGAGGTGGTACTAGGCAGTAATGTAAACACTGCCTTGTCTCTAAAAAGTTAGTGTTTACATTAAAAATCCTGCAGCTGACTATACACACCAGAACAACTACATTAAGCTGTAGTTGTTTTGGCGACTATAGTGTCCCTTTAAGTTTGGCTACTGTTGCCTAAATTTTCAAATTCAATTAAATTATTTCTGAATTCATGAAAGATTACACTTTACCAAATAACAGTTTTTTTCTTCCTGGCTGTAATCTAGATATGGAATAGTGTATTGTCTGTGTTTTGCACTTGGTACTATTTATATTTTACATTTTTGATTCACTCTTGGTTCCCTACTGATTACATATCCAATATTGCATAGTGGGTGATGTCACACAGAGCATTAGAATCCATAATTCAGGAGGTGACTGAAACTGTGCCACAAGGAGACCCTACTTTTAGGGTAGCACGAGGCATACTTGACCCTGCCTGCCCAAAGTTGGTGAGAGCCACACTCTGCAGCTACTGTCCTTAATTTAGTTTCTCCACCTTTATTGATGGACTGGATGAAAAGCTGGGGAGACAGTGTGATTCTCTGTGCCTTTCTCCTCTCCTTCTCACCTAAAATATTCGGAATGCATTACAGTAAGTGCAGCAGGTGAAAAATGCAGTTAACATGCGGTGGGCCTGACACAAAATATATCTGGGCATTTTAGATTTTGCTAATAAAAGTTAAGATTTTTTTGTGGTAGTGGTTTACAGGAGACGATAATGGACGGGAAAGATGAGACTGCAGCATTAGAGAATAGAACAAGTTCAGCTGAAATGTAAGATACCCAATGTGCTGAAAGGCAGCAGCCATGAGTAATTAAAATGGAAATTTGTGAAAGAAATGTATACTAAAAAGCAGAATAAATAATAATAAACAAAATGTTTGGAGGTTTGGATCTCAAAACTAGCATGCACAACTGCTTCTCTAGAGCTGGAGGGCTGTATTTAAATCCTCCAAACATTCCCACAACACCTGGATAATTGGCTTTGTGTTTTTTCCATCACAATGGCATTTAACGTGCTTTTTAAGTCCACTAAATTAACTAAATAATATAACTGTATCTGTTACTGTTACACAAATGAATGACTCAGTTTAAAGATTTCTGCCCAGTTTACATTGTCACTTAAAGGGGACTCTACAATCCACAGCTACTAGTGTTTATTTTACCAACAGTCCCCTGTTTTTTGTCAGTTTGTCACTTCCATGGGTCCCCTCAGGCACCTACAGTCCTTATGGTCTTCCCAATACAGCTAAAATATAATTTCTTATTCTACTTTATACTATATCCGTTTTGTGCATCTTTTCCCAGCACGCATTGGTTGAGAGTGTGCTAGGTGTAAAATGTGTTTTGTTTTGTTTTTTGGAAAAATATTCTCTACTATAGAGAATAAGAACAATTAGGAGAAAAACAAAGAATGAGCTAAGCTATCCTGAAGTGTAACAGGTAAGTGTTCATGTCAAAGCATTTTGATAGAAGATAATTTAGCAGTAAAAATGCAATGACAGCAGAGTCTTTTTCGTAAGCCCTGGTGTTCAAAAATTGATACCCCATTGATCATAGAGCAAATGTAAATTGGATGTCATTGGAAAAAGAATCCAGAACATTATGAAAGGTTTCTCTTTTTTTTAGGTTGTAATGTCAAATGGATTGCTGCTGGTTCCCTGCTTTATATGTGCATCTTCGCTATTTTTATTATTGAAGCTACTTCAATGTGATAAATTTTTTGTTTTTGTTTTGTTTAATATGATATGGAGAACTTTAGCATCTTTTGTCCAATTGGGACGCTATAGATTGCTTCAAGAGTAAGTAATTACAATTTAGATTTATTTTATTTGCACTTATATAGATATATTGTTCTATCTTGCTTCAAATATTTTCACATTTACATTATTTTCACATTGACAATATGATTCACATATTTTGGTACATGTATCTATGTATTAGAAGTTATTGTAATGATATGGTGCCCCTGCGCATTAGGGGTGTAGGTAGTTGGCTGAATCTTGGCGTGGTTCAAACATTCATTGTTGTTATTATGTTATTAACAAATTTAAACCTATTTAGTTTAGAAAAACATCGCCTGAGAGGGGATGTGATAACATTATACAAATATATTCGGGACCAATACAAACCATTGTGTGGCAATCTATTCACAAACCGGACTTTACATAGGACACGAGGCCATGCGTTTAGAATGGAAGAAAGAAGATTTCGTCTAAGGCAAAGGGAAGGTTTTTTTACTGTAAGAACAATCAGGATGTGGAATTCTCTGCCTGAAGAAGTGGTTTTATCAGAGTCCATACAGATGTTCAAACAGCTACTAGATGCATACTTGCAAAAACAGAATATTCAAGGATATAATCTTTCAATGTAGGGTAATAACTGCTTGATCCAAGGATAAATCTGACTGCCATTCTGGGGTCAAGAAGGAATTTTTTTCCTAGCTTGTTGCAAAATTGTGCTTCAAACTGTTTTTTTTTGCCTTCTTTTGGATCAACAGCAAAAAACAAATGTGAGGAAGGCTGAACTTGATGGACGCAAGTCTCTTTTCAGCTATGTAAATATGTAAC